ACCTGGTGTTTATAAAAGAAAATACACATTTTTGTCCTACGGTTCGTCGTGTTCTTATATATCAAAGATGTTAATACATTGGTTTTAAAAAAGTAACAGGTCGTAATAGCTTATTCTGTTTATTTCCAATGAAGACTTAAATAAATTTAAGAGAGTTTTTGTAGGTAACCAGTAGGATCTAAATCTTCACCTACAAACTTTGACGTGAGGTGAACTGCAGGACTTCACCAACAGATGTTGCTAAATCACTGCACACTTCATAAAGAATACTTTCCCTTCAACTCTTTTGTATACACAACTAAAAAAAAGAAAAGAATAAGTTACCCAATACTGAACATTGGTGTAAGTGTTTACTACACTGATGTAATGGGGATCATTTCACACAAGGACGTGGTACCTGTGAACTGAGCTGACTCTTGATCCAGTTGAAGTAGTAGTTCAGATCACTTCCCTCCATCAGATCACGACCCCAGGCCGCCAGCTTAGCGATGATTCTAGCTGCCTAAAATGTGACCAAACATTTAGCTCAAAAAACGATATATAATCTTAAAGTATATTTTATTTCCATACATTGCATTTTAGTATTTGCTCTCTCGAAGTGCGCTAGATTGCCAATGAATTTGTTTTTAGTCAACTCGATGTCAACACTAAATGACTAAAATAGTCATGATTATAATTCTTCCTCTTTTCTGAGTGAGGCTTCAGGTTTCCTGTCACAGTTCTACATTTATCTTCATGTGATCATCCTTTTTGTTAAAAGGGCTTTCTGTGAGAAAATCATTGCATTCGGTGCTGGTTCTCAAGGAAACGGCAGAAGGTTGCTTTGTGAGGAATAATTGATGCCTCGCTATGATTAGAAACACAGTCACATTTGTGAAAAATTCATGATGGTGGAAAAGTCAAAGGCTACACAGCCTTTTGATCTGAAAAGCGTATGTCACTGTGACATGATTCTGGTTTATTTATTGTGCCAAAAACCCCATTAACACCTGGTCATCTACAGGTTATTTACATTCTAAACAGTACAATTCAATATATGACACTGGGTTTGATTGTCTTTTTGATTTAAAGGTACTTCCAATACATCTAAATGATCAAAATCATGTAGGAAAGGGACATACAACCTGCATGAAGACCATGAACAACTAACAATTCACATGTTTATATGGAGTTACTAAACTGTGTAAAAATAATGCCTGATTGATGAATAAAAGTTACCTATGCATTAAACCTAAGAATATAATTTAATATAAATTAAACATTGTTTATGAAAATGGTAATATGCATTCATTATTTTTGAGACTCACCATGTGGACAGTAAAAGGGTCCTGACGATTCAGCATAGGAAGAAAGTAGGACCAGGCCGTGTTTTTTGTCTTTTTGGCATAGTCAAAGAAAATGTTCACCCGCTGATGGTTCTCCTGAATGAGTCATAATCATAAAAAAAAATTAAGGTGCTTCGTTTGCTTGATTCATATTTATTACAGATAGATGTTATTAATTTATTTGTCTAGCTGGTTTATACAAGCAACTGGATATGTAGCCTTGTCTAGATCTTTTACACTCAATACTTCAGAAAATATGTCTTTGTAGGTTCCACCAGTATGACCAAAACACTAAACCAATACCACTAGAGGGAGCACAAGAACCACCAGTGGTACAACTACTGTAGTTAGAATTAACTAAAACTGAACCTCAACATTTGAGAGGTCAGTTTGACGTCAGATTTATTTTCATTAAATATTCACAGCCCTTCTTGTTCCACCATCCTGTGCATGATACTAATAAATAAACTAACACACCTAGGATTGAATGTAAATGACAGAAACTAAAATATTCATTGCAAAAATTAAAAAGCAAAAGCTTCTGCTACATCAATTGCATGAACAACAATGTGTCTGCTGACATACCTGCAGGGTGTCATCAATCAGCGTCAGGATGTACTGCACCGTCTGCTCCTTGGAGATGTGAGCCATTAGGTTAAGAAAGGTCTTTGCACACTGAGTTAAAAAAAAAAGAAGGACATTTACAAACTTAGGACAATCCCCAGACACTATGATATACCATTGATCTGTGTTCTGTGACCGACAGACTTTATTTATGGTGTAAAAAATGTCCATTGAGAGTGAACTTTAAAAAAAAATGTATTTACATGAAACCAATAAGCAAACCTGTCTTGTCCTGTGTATGTACAGATCAAGGAGCATTGTCTCTTATGTGGTACGAGGAAATGCATGTGAACAGTAAGGACCTTCATACCTGATGTCCCTCATTGGTCAGAATGACCTGTTTCTCCTCAGAGTTGGCCACTTCAAACTTCTTAATGAACTCACAATCCTCAGCTGAGATCATCTGACTCCTGCAAAGAACACAGATTTGAGGCTTTAATATTTAAGACCAGAGCTGGGATAAATTATTTTAGCATCATAGATCTTTTTTTCTATTAGTAAAGTAAAGCAGTATGTACTGTAAAGGCAGTGCACAAAATGTACATTTATATTTATGCACTGAGATTTTATCCAAAGCGACTTACAAGAGGAGGATTAAAAATCAACACACCACAGAGTAGTTTGTGGTAATATTGGTTACATGATACTTATAGGGGAATTAAACACATTTAAGACACAATGAGATGAGTCTCACCCCAGTACCACTGCATTAACATACAGTGGTTTAAAGAGGAAGTGTTCCTCAAGACAGTGAGTCACAGCACACATTCAAACAGAGCTGTTTATCACAAAGCACTTTGTCTGCCTTATAATAGAAAGGGTTAAGGGTTAGGAAAGACATGCTAAGAACAATGCCCTGAGACCCAGGTGTTGTAAAAACACTGATACTTAATGACAACTAAAAAAAAAAAGAAAATGTGTCTTGAAGGACAGATGCAATATTTTGAAGAACAAAACCTCCATGAAAAATACAATGTTTAGGAATAAAGGTGATCATTTGCAGAGAAGTATTCAAGCTGCTACTGCAACTGCTATAAAAGGAAGTTGTTCTTTTTCTCAGAGCTCTGTGTTAAACAGCCTGACGACATAACCAACCAGAGGAAGTTTGGTCTTTCCTTTTTTGTCTCAGGAATTAGTTAGAAAATGGAGCACTAACATGTGACTTCTGAAGTAACGATTGTGTGTAGGTTGACAGTTTATTTATTTCAGTTATGCTGTATTAGTGCAATTTGGAGTTTTAAACATGGTTAAATTGATGGTTTTAGGTGTGCAATGCAGAATGTCTCTTTTTTATACACGTCTACACCGCAACACAAAACTGGAGGAAAGAGAGTTGCACAACAAAGAATCAATTGAACTGCTTCAGTGTTGTTAGATAAATGTATCATTTATCTTCAGCCAATCGATCCTTTTCAGGGTCGTCAATTCCAGCAGCCCACGTGGGAAGGTAGTGGACACCTTGGAGAGTTGATCAGGCCGTCACAAGGCCACACACAGAAACAAAGAACCCTTTATGCTCACATTCATATCTATGATGAACTGAGAGTCAATTACTGCTGAGGACCAAACCTGTTAGCTTCTTGCTGTGAAGCAGGGGAACTAACTGCCTTTCTAGACAAAGGTAAGGTCAAATCCATACAGTGGCGTGAAATGTGGAAGGACAACGAAGGAATTACTCCACTGTACTGGGTCAACCTACACTGGAACAACTTAAGTTAAATAAGAATTTCTTTCAATGTAACACAGATAATTACCATGCTAGTAACTGAAACTTATGAATTCGCTGCTCTCCCCAGGCCATATTTGCACACACTTTTGACTGAACCTACAGCAATGCATTCTTAGAAGTGACTTTACCTGAGGAAAAATGTAAAAAATGTAAACATAATAATATTTTAAATCTTTCATTGACCTTTTGACACTTTCCACTAGGGCCAAGGACAAAGGTTAGGGAAAAGCTTTAAACCCAAACTATATATACTCTTTAAAGTGACATTATGGAGTTGTTCACGGTGGACTTACTGCAGGTAGGACTGCCAGTTGACCAGGTTGGCTCGCACCTCTGCAGCCTTGGCAGCAATGATGTTGGTGGGCACTGCAGCGTCCACAGCCCCGCGGATATCCATGATCTTATGTGTTCAGAAGACGAATGAAGAAGACAAGTCCAACAACAGCTGTTGGAAACACAACAATAAACTTGTTCACAAGGCCGAAAAACTGGACACAGTTTAATTACATTACAATATTTGAGGTTTATATCATTACATACAATTATATAGGAGTTATTATAGTAAAAGTGTTATCTTAAAATAATCAATTCCCCCAGTTGGCTCACCGGCGTTGTTCGTTTCTTTTTACAAAATGTAAACTTGAAATACAATTTTTAATTATGTCATTTAGCTGACAGCTGCTTCATGCTAAGCAACTAGCTTCATCCAATGTCACGAGCAAGAATAGGTTTACGGCAGACCTAAAAGGAGGCGTCGCTGTGCATACATTATCACATAACCCTGTATCAAAACAATAGCTTTCGATAAAGCTTTCATTATAAAGTGTCATATAATAAAGCTATAAGAAACGCAGAGAGCAACGTAAGCTAAGGACTAGGTTCAGCTCAGGATGCTAATGTGCTAGCTGTGCTAACGCATCTTCAATTTCGATTTAACTGTCGGACTTTTAGTTGCAACGGTTACAGGGATGATAACACAGATAGAACGAAATTCGACAAAAAAATATGTTTTAAGAATGATTCTTTTCTTTGTTTTTAAATAGCAGAAACTGTATGAATTACTCACCCTTATGCTAGGAGCTCAGCTGACAGATCACAACACGGCGTCAACGTATATCATGTGACAACCAGTCACATGAACTGCAGTGGGCGGGGTCAGGGAACAGACGTCGCAGTGGTTTACTGCAGGAAAAATCAAAATAAATTAAAGCTTCACCGGATTCTAATAACTTCTGACGTAAACCGTGCTCTTAAAGTTACTCTGCAGTGAGAAAATAATGATTGACACAGTTTTCACACTCGATACGATACGATTCCTGATGCAACTCTATCTATTTAAGTGTAAGGAAATAATGGATTTCAACTGCCCGTCTACTGCAATGCAGTTTTAAAGAAAAAAAACATGCATTTGAATGACATTGTTCTTTTTTGGGTTCAATGAATTAAAATAATAACCCAGAAATGCATTTGGACCTTGGTACCACAGTGGTTTTCTTTGTCCAGTCTATTTTTTGAAATGTCCAGTGTCACATTTAAAATTCATCAGATATTACTTTAGCCAACACATCCAGTATTTATTCAGTTGGTGCATTTTCTTAACCCTGTGACAGTGACAGCCATTGCTCAGCTTTGATCAGCAATCATTGTTATATTCTCATGATGTGTAAAAGTGTTTTCATTGTCCTGGAAATAAAGAAATAAATTACTTGTGTTATTTAACTAAAAAGGAATTAAATCCCAGATGAGTCCATGCCTGCTGCTAGCCTCCCCTGCTGCCTGTCTCTCAGACATTAAGACACTGTCTTAATCTTGACTAAGCTGGTGAGGCGCAGAAAAGCACAGAGGAATCGGGATTGCGTCCAGTCGGGACATTGTCCTAATCCCCTTCTGCCCTGTCCTTTGTAAACACTCTTGTCTCTGTCGGGGTCACTGATGCCTGTCATTTTTCCTGCCACCATGTGCATTAGAGGGCAAACTGGGAAAACAAAGGAGCGGATGGATTTCTTATGATCTTGACTTGAGGCTCACGTGGCATGTGAGGCCCTGTGATTGGAGCATGCCAGGTCTGAGAACGGCGAGAGGGTTTGAGCTCAGGCCCACATCTGCTCTGCGGGGGATCAGACGCACAAATGCCCTGATGTGGCAACAGTTTCGGGGACTTGCCCGAACTTGTCGACATGGTGTGGGGTATTCAGTGAACTGCAATGACCCTGATCGAGAGGAGCAGGAGATGGTGTGCCTTGAGGTATGGACAAGTGTTAGTCACTAAAACGTTGCACCATAACACAGCCTGTGCATACAGTCTGTTTCCAAAACTGTACACTCTTTTGTGTTTTATTGCAATTTAAAATGTCCTCTTGTACTTTAATAATTTCCTTAGCCAAAAGTAAAATATGTTGTATCAAACCTTTGCAGTGTATATGGTGCTGGGTTTGGACTGCCCTCTGGTGTCTGTGAAAAAAGGAATATTGTGTACATGTAAATGTACAAGAAATTGATTTTTACTATTAAAATAAAAAAAAAAACTATTTGTGATTCTTTACAAACCGGCATGTACTCACCTTCAGTCCCATATTCATACGAGTGTAAACCAGAGGATCATATCCAAAAGAAATGCATGTCTCCATGGTCACCACTGACCAAAATCATATGAAGAGACAATTCTCTGCTTTGTTGTTGTGTGTCAGTGCGGTAATTCAAGAGACCTTTAGATGGCACTGTTGTTCTATGCTTCTAGTACCGTGAGCGCTGTGGAGCATTCTGACAAATTATTTAAAAAAAAAAACTTTAACATATATCCATTATTTCTGTTTTGTACAGAAATAACATGTTTCAGAAATGTAACAGAAATGTACATGTTTCTACTGCTGCTTAGTTCATCTTAATTACTTTGTTCCTAACAGATGTCTATCAATAGAATGAGTTCAAAATTCACAATAATAAATATGATAAGCATAAACATTTATTTATCAGATAAAGGCACAAAGAAACAAATTAAAGTGTATTTCGGAGCAATTTTACAAAGGCATGTTTGAAGAATATTCCAAATAGTTGGTTCAGAATGGTAGCACTAAAGATCACATTTTAATGACAGTTAAAACCCCAGAACAGAGAGATATCATTATGGAAGTTGAAAGTTTTGCTGCTTAAAAACGCATGATTCGTCGTTAAATTTGTTTAGGACAAAACGTCTCGACTGCAGGTAGGCCATGTTAGAATCACTGTAGGGCAGCAATGAGGCAAAGCAAAAGGAGTAGAATCCATTTACAATATTATTAAAGTAAATGGAATCCTTAACCAACGTATTCTAAAAACAATTTTTGCCTTTTACCATGTTTCCTCCTGTCACCAGTTTCCTGCAAATAAAGGAACTTCCTTTATTTCCACTTACTTGTACTGTTGTACAGTTAAATGTTGTATTATTGTATTTTTAAGAATCAACAACATTTATGGATATGCTGTCAGTATCAATTGTTATTCTTGTTGGGGTCAGAAAGCACTCCTGTATGTATGTAGGTAATTGCTATGACCGTTTCAGAACCATGGACAGCGACGTCATGACCAAAGCTGTTTTGGGAAAGCTTGTCGTCAACTTTTCATTTCTGAGCCGGGTTAGTAGAAAGGAATCAAGATGTCTACTTTGTGTTCGTCTCCTTCTCAAGGGGTGGGTCGTCATTATTCTGAGTTCGATCATAAAGTGACAGTCACCGCTTTCTCCCACGTCTTGCGTACGAGGTAAACCTGTGCCATACTGTCGGGGGTTTACGCTCTTCATTGGGCTACTACGAGCCAGAGGCAGGACGCATGCGTGCTGACTTGGAGCAGCCGGTCGGAGAAAAAACCCTAATGTGCCATCGGATGTAATCAAGGCAAAGAATTTCCTTTTCTCGCTGTGCATACATGGTGAATTTGTAAGTAATCGAAGCAAATGTGTGTTTCGTCGCTCTGCTTGTTTCGTGAGCGAAGCGTTTTCGGTCGTTTCCAAGTGTTTGAAATGGCATGTCACTATCTTGCTATACAGCGGGCTTTAAACAGATCTAGGCAGTGTCTTTTCGGCTGTTGTCCAGGGCGATAGGAGCTCTGTGGTTCTTCATGGTGGCACTTTCCATTGATGCGATGTTCTGTTGCTAATGCAATGGGGGATTTTTATTTTTTTGCTGTCAAATCACACAGAATCCGTCAATCCCCTGTGTCGTTCGCCTTCGTGCTGCCCGGAGATTAGAGGAGAATTGTGTTCAACGCTGTGTGATCATGATTTATCATTTGAATGGATATGAACACCCACCCCCCCACCCCCATTTCATCGACCATAGCCGTTGAGTCAACCCACAGCGTACCGCATTTGTACCACCTAACGCGTAAAATTATGCCATTT